ATGACCTGGGCATTATCCCAGGAGTAGGTCTTGATCTGCGTGGCCCTGTAGAGTTGTGGACATTGAGAAGGAGATTAAAGGTTGGGGGTGAGGGGGAAAGCAAAGGCCTGTGACATATCAGTGGGTGGCCAGCACTCACCAGTCCTGCACAGCGGTGAAGGACTCTTGGTTGGCAATGTCATACATGAGCAGGAAGCCCATGGCTCCACGGTAGTAGGCTGTGGTGATGGTCCGGTAGCGCTCCTGGCCTGCTGTGTCCTAGGCAAACAGCGGTCTGTCAGCTGGGGCTCACCTGCTCCCTACCTGACTCTGCAAGGCCCTGAAAGGGACACAGGTCTGTCCTTGTGGTCCGACCTGATGGGGAGGCATGGTCCTGCCCTCTCAGCCCTCACTGCCCATCCTGGTGTGACACATTATAGGCTGCATCACCAGGCCCGGTTGCCCCGTCTTGAGAACTCTGCTAACTGACTCAGCTCTAGTGTGCAGGGCTGGATGACAAGCGCCTATCTATGAGCTTCCCTAACCTCGTTTCCATGAACCAGTGTGAGGGTCACAGTGAAGAGCCATCGGGCCTCAGGGTACCACCTCGATCTGCCACCTGGTCCCCTTGTTACCATGATGATACTAACAGCTGGACTAGGGACAGGGCATAGCTCTGAACCTGGCAACCTCCATAGAAGTCCCCAAGATGGCCCCCACCTTCTTCCTCACTAGTCACTGGTTCTTCTAGCACCTCATGCATCCTGTCCTTCCACAGGCCACCCAGGGCAGGGCACGTCCCACATCCCAATGAATTTACCTCAGAGATAAAAGACACCTCCCCACCCTTAGCTGCTCTCTACTGAGGGCTCCCCACTCCCCACACGGCTATCCGACCCACCCAGATCTGCAGCTTGATCCTCTTGTCATGTCGGTAGACTGTCTTGACCTTGAAGTCGATGCCCACGGTGCTCACGAAGGCGGGGGTGAAGGAGTCATCCGCATAGCGGAACAGGAAGGAGGTCTTGCCCACACTGCTATTCCCGATCAACAGCAGTTTGAACATGTAGTCAAAGTTCTGGTCGGCTGCATCCCTTGGGCTGGCAGGGGGCTCACTAGCGGAGGCCATCTTGGTGGAATCTGCTTGGAGGGGAGGCCTGAAGTCCTAATGGGGAAGAATGGAACCCTGCAAGGGGCAGGTGCCAACAACTGAGGCTAGGAGTCTGTTCGGGTCCAGGAGTCAGTTCTCAGAACACGTGGATCAAGGATCTAACTCAGGTTATCAGGCTGGGCAGCAAGTGCCCTTACTGCAAAGCCACTCCCTAGCCCTGTTTGTTTCTCTGTCTCTGTCTCTGTCTGTCTCTCTCTGTCTCCAAGGTCTCACTCTGGAACCTAGTCTGGCCTCTAACTCCCAGTCCATCTTGGGGCTGGAGTTCCAGGCGCTCGTGACTTTCAGGTCCTCTGAAAGAGCAATACCTGCTCTCAACAGCTTATCCTCATGTAGCTGGCCTCAAACTCCCCATGTGGCCTTACAAGCTTCTGATCCTGCCTCTGGAACTGGGATTACAGGTGTGCACCCCACTGCCCTTCCTAATGAGTCTCATTATTCATCAACAAACCTTGGCCCAGTCCTTCACGGCACCAGGCACTGAGCTCTGAAGAGACACAGCTGTGCATAAAACCGAAAACCACTCACCTGTATGGAGGGCTGTGGCTGTTGGTTAACCTTCACACACAGGTGAAAGTGAGGCCTGGGATGGTGGTAGAGTGCTCACTTTAGGTTTCAGCCCCAGGACCCAGTAAATCAGGTGTGATGTGCACACCTGTAATTTCACCACTAGGGAGGTACAGACAGGAGAATCCGCAGTTCAAGGTCATCCTGCACTACTTTGGAAGTTTGATGCCAAACTGTGCTACATGAGATCCTGACTCAAAAAGAAAAAAAAGAAAAAGAAAAAGAAAAAAAAAGAAGAAAGAAAAAAAAGCAGAATAGCAGAGTGAGCCTTTACAGTGGAAGGTTTTCTGATCTCCTGCTTTGAGGTACAGAAGTCAAGTAACTGGTAAAAACTCAGGGCCAGTGGTGGTAGTGAGGAAGTCGCACGGGCTGCAGACTGGACTTTGCCCAGAGCAAGCAGCTGGTATGGCAAGGTGTGAGCTGGAGGGGGGGGGGTGGCTGCCAACTAGACAGAGCCCCCTCCATCAGGGCCTGGGTGTTGACTTAGCTGGTGTCTGCCACTGGGCTGCCTGTCCTTTCCCGTTTAAGTCCACTTTAACCATTCCCTGTCTCCCAGGGTAAGGGATATTTCTATAAATATAGCATGGTTTAGAATCCCAGTTAATCTTCCAAGTGAGTACCTGTCATTTTATTTGTCAAAGGGGCCGGACCTAGCTCCCTTTTGGTCAAAGCTGATTCATCTCAGTCATCGTCCACAGAGACAGGAATGAAAGTCATCAAATCTGACGGAATTATCCTAGCCACTCAAAGATCACAAAACCCACTCCATATTCTTTTATTTATATCTGTTCACACTCCAGCATGCTGTTAAATCCGAATCTAGGGTTCCCTTCCAATCTCCCCAGGAGTCAGTGTTCTCAGCTGTCTAGAGTCGCTCTCTGAAGCTCAAGCAAAAGTATTTCTCAACGGCCCTCGGTGTTTTCTGTTTCTCTGCCCCATGCATTTCCAAAGAGAACGCAGCCAACCCCACCCTACGTTCCGGGAGAACGGGTTTGAGGAGGGACCGCAAAGCGTCCGCCTGGCAGGGCCTTCAGGCTGGCCCCAGCCCCACCGCGGCTCCTCTTCCGGGCCGACTAGGGGTCCCCGGGTCCTCAAGGCGGGCATCCAAGCTGTCAGTGCACTGCCTGCACCAGCAGGTGCCTCCCCCATCACCATATGGCGCCCTCGCTCGCCCCCGACTGGGCTCCTTGCCCAGCTCGCCGCCGCTCGGGCAGCCAGCGGAGCCAGCGGGGCGCGGGGAACCCAGAAGAGCCAGCAGCACGCTTGGGGAGCGTGACCCGGTCTCGCGTGGACCCCAGCCCAACCTGTCAAAGCGCACGCGCGAACCTACAGGCGGGCTGGCGCACTCGCTTCGGGACTCACCTCGGGTCACGCCTCGCACACTAGGATCCGCCCACGAAGTCGCTGCAGCCCGCACCCGGCCGCGACCCCCGCCCCGCAGTCACCGCCGCCAGCACTGACACCCGGATCCCGCGCCGGCTCCGCCCAGGTGGAGGGGGCGAGGCCGAAGCAAGAGTTGGAGCGCTGCGTGGGTGGGGCCTATGGGGGCGGGGCCGCTGTGAGAGGTGGATTCTGGAGGTGGGCGTGGTCTTGTGGCCTGGGGGCTCCGCAAGAGGAGGAGCCAGGAGGTAGGCGTGGCCTGTCCGGGGATTGGGACCCAGCGAGAGTCCTGCAGAGTGGGCGAAGTCTGCAGGCGGAGGTGGGTCTAGCAGGTGCGGGGCCGCTTCAAGAGGCTCTCCAGGTGAGCGGGGAATTGAGGGGCGGGCCTGGTAGTAGAGCGTCCACGGCCGGAGGCGGGACGGGAGTCCAGCGACCCACAAGAAGTGGGCGGGGCATATACGTGGAGGGACTTTCCCCTAAGGTTGAGCCTCGCCGTGTGGCAGCAAGAACTAATCAGATGAGAATACGCGGTTTGTGGGCCCAAGAGGCGGGGTGGGTGGGGGCGCTAGATGAGAGGGTCCTGACAGGAGCCGAGCTATAGCGCCCAGAGGAGCGGGAAAGGGCATTAAGTCCCACCGTACTCTCTCTTAGAAACATACGTCTCCTTTTCCCTAACATAGAAAACGCCTTCTATGCACTCTGTGGTTAAGAGGAAAACCTCAGCAGCTGGGTTCTAGTCCCGCCTCCACTTTCTAGGATTGGGATTCGTGACACATTTAACCTCTCCCAACTTCAGTTTTCCCATCTGTCAAGTGTGTAGCCATGTTTCTGTTTTTAATTTTTTAATTTGGGGGCTGGAGAGATGGCTCCGTGGTTAAAAGCTCTTGTTCTCAGCACCCACGTGGTGGCTCACAACCATCCATATTCCAGAGAATCTGATCCCCACCCTTCGTCAAGCAGCAAGAACCAACGTGGACAGACATAAATGTAGGCAAAACACTCATGTAAAATAAAAAATTTTAAAACTAATTTTTTTTTTCAGACAAGATCTCATTTATTCCAGGCTTGCCTGAAACGCATTATGTACCCAAGAATAAATAAATAAACTGACCCTCTTGCGTTCACCTCTCAAGGTCTGGGATTGCGGGTATGCAAAACCATGCCTAGTTTATGTGGTGCTGGGAAGGAGCCTGAGTGTTCTTGTATACTAAGCAAGCACTCCCCACCCCCTAACCCATTTTCTTCGCAGTGCTGAGGCAAAGACCAGGCCTTCATGAATGTCAGGCACACTCCATGTCCCACATAGTCCTAAAGGGTGCTGGATTACACTGTTCAATCCTCTTAAGGGCTCCCGGAGTTAAAACACGTTTTAGAAATAAGGAAACTAAGGATCAGAGAGAGGCAGATATTTGTCTGAGGCCACACAGCAAGATTTAGAATTCAAAATAATATAGTGGCCATCACGATGGACAAGTGGGCAAAGGCACAGGGTCCCAAGTCTCTAGAATACACTCACATTGGTTCCCATCTCGGCATGGATGCTATGGACTAGGAAAGATGCAGTAAACTCTATCTTGTCTTGCACACATGCCACTCACGCTCACATCTCATCAGTAGTGACAGTGGGCTATGAAATACGACTGTGCCTGAGGTGGGAACCTGCTGTTGCTATAGTAACACAGAGTCAGGGCAATGGTTAGCACCAGCCAGGCATTCAGCAGGGACTCATAAATGGTCATCATTAGTGGAGATTTGCTGGAGCTGCAATAGCTCACACTCCAAAGCATCATGGAACGGGAATGGGGAAACTTGAGACTCTAGGTGCTATACTAGTGCACACGTGCACACACACACACACACACACCACCTGGCTTCTATGGTGGAAATATGAATCTCCACAGCCATCTCCAAAGAAGCATTTATTGGCACATAAGGCCTGTGTTAAAGTCTCTGGAGCCCCAGAGCGAGGCCAGCAAGGCAGAGCCCGTTACTGAGCAGGCAGCCCAGGTTGCAGAGGGAAGACAAACCGTGGTAGTGGAAGAATTTCTGGCGAAGAGCATTGTACTTGGGGTCCTTCTCCCGCAGCTGGCGGTAGGGGTCAGGGCCCTGGTGGCTGCCTGGCACCTCTGTCCCCAGGCCTCGATCTTTCTCCACAGTCTGTAGGGCCCACATGACAGCCGTGGTGCGGGCCTCCAGCCAGCGTGCATTGATAGTGGCCAGTGTGAGGCTCAGGAGCAGTAGAGCGAGCTGAGGACAGTGAAGGGGAGGCAAAGTGAGGAGGGTGATGATCTAACAGAGGGTATGTGAACGTCCTCACAGCCCGGAGAGTTCCCTCAGCCAGAGTTGGGACCCTGAGAGTAGTAAAGAACCTATGGCTTGGGGAGAGCTCAGGAGAATGGGATGGTTAGGATGGAGGAAGGGTGGATATGGGAGCAGGGAAGTAGATATCTTAATTAAGGGAGCCATTTTAGAGTTGGTAAGAGACTTGACTCTAGAGGAGTTCCCAGGTCCAAGGAGAGGTCCCCAGATTGTTCCTTGGGCAGCAGAGGAGAGGGTGCCTGAAGTGGTCTTGTCCCATAGCCACACTGATGAATATCTTGCATATCACCATAGAACCTTCATCTGGCGATGGATGGAGATAGAGACAGAGACCCACATTGGAGCACTGGACTTAGCTCCCAAGGTCCAAATGAGGAGCAGAAGGTGGGAGAACATGAGCAAAGAAGTCAGTACCATGAGGGGTGCGTCCACCCACTGAGATGGTGGGATTGATCTAATGGGAGCTCACCAAGGCCAGCTGGACTGGGACTGATGGAGCATGTGATCAAACCAGACTCTCTGAATGTGGCTGACTATGAGGGCTGACTGAGAAGTCAAGGACAATGGCACTGGCTTTTGATTCTACTGCATGGACTGGCTTTGTGGGAGCCTGCTTTGTTTGGATGCTCACCTTCCTAGACCTGGATGGAGTGGGGAGGACCTTGGACTTCCCACAGGGCAAGGAACCCTGACTTCTCTTAGGACTGGAGAGGAAGGGGGAGTGGGGGGATGGGGAGGGAAATGGGAGGTGGGGAGGAGGTGGAAATTTTTAATAAATAAAAAAAGAAAAAATAATAAAATAAAAATAAATTGTGTTATATTACAAAAGAAAGAAAGAAAGAAAAAAAAACCTATGACTTCTTCTCTTCTGCTCCCTGGCCCAGGGCACAGTCTGCTCCCCTACTGTTCCTTCAACACCTACGCTGCCTCTTCAAAACAAAACGTGTTTTTTGCAGTACTGAGAATTGATTTTCGGGCCTCAGACACAGTGTAAGTTCTAGAGCTGAACTACATACCCAGCCCTTTCTCACTTGTTTTGTGTGTAGGTGGTATATACACGCAGGAGTGGGGTGGGAATAGGGGGGTGTTTCTGCCCTAGTTGTCCTTGAACTCGACCTGTAGACGGCTGGCCTCAAACTCACAGAGGCCTGCTTCTGCCTCCCAAGTGCTGGGATTAAAGGTGTGCACAACCACCACCTGACCTTTTTTCTTTTTGAAAAATTTTACTGCATTTACTTGTGTGTGTGTGTGTGTGTGTGTGTGTGTGTGTGTGTAATAACATGCCTTGGTGTGTGTGTGTGCAGACTCGAGGGAGTCATTTCTCTTTCTCTTCTTCCTCCATGTAGATCCTCAGGAGTCCAACTCAGATTGTCATCAGGCTTAGCAAGCAAGGGCCTTTGCTTGCTCAAGCGGCCACCTTAGTTTTTGAGGCGGTGTGCCTTATTGATCCTGGAACTCCCTCATTCAGCTAGACTGACTGGTTGGCCAATGAGCTTCAGGGATCTGCCTGTCTCCGCCCCTGACTCCCACCGCTCCGAGTGGGGTAACTCCTCTGGGTTTGGTGATTGGATGGGGCTGAGGATTCAAACTCAGGTCCTCATGTTTCTGCAGGGAGCACTTTTCTGCCCAAGTCATCCCCCAGCCTCCACCCTTCCCTTTGAGGCAAATTCTCATTAAGTTGCCTGGGCTGGAGCAGAACTCACTGTGTAGCCAAGGCTGGCAATCCTCTTGGCTAAGCCCCCCAAAGACCTGGGATGACAGGGTGCCCACCTGGTCTCCCCAAAAGGAAGACAAACAACACTCATGGTTCTTTCATTCCCTCTGCTCAAAAGCACACAGTTTAAAATAGGGCCCATCTCTTCTGTGACCCCTGGAACTGACACTGAACCAATGAATTAAACACCTGAGAAATACCAGCTACCCATAACCCTCTCTGATCTCTAAGAGATTATTCTTTTGTGGGGAGTGAGTTGAGATAGGATCGCAGTAGCTCAGGCTGGTTTCAGGCTCCCTACGTGACTGACACTGACCCTGATTCCTGATCTTCCCACCACCACCTCCAAGTGCTGGGGTTACAGGTGTCACCACCATGTCAGCCTTGGTTTTTTCATTTAAATTTTTATTTTATTTTGGTGTTTTGAGACAGGGTTTCACTGTATAGACCTGGCTGTTCTTCTGTAGACCAGCATGGCCTCAAACTTACAGATATCTACCTCCTGGGTGCTTGGATAAAAGGCATGTGCCACCACTACCTGGTTTAATTTTTTTTTTGAGATAGGGTCTCTCTAACTGTCCTTGAACTCTCTATGTAGGCCAGGACGGCCTCTAACTCACAGTGATTCTCCTGCCTCTGCCTCCAGAATGCTGGAACTAAAGGTGCACACCACTATACCTAGTTTGTTTGTGTTGTTGTTTTTGAGACAGAGTCTTACTATGTAGCCCAGGCCTGCCTGGAACTTGTGCAATCTCCCTGGCTCATCTTCCCAAATCCTGGGGTAACGTGTGTGTGTGTGTGTGTGTGTGTGTGTGTGTGTGTGTGTGTGGTGTGCACCACCACACCGGGCTGAGAGACCACTCTTGGTACACCCATCAAGTCTTACTCACCAACATCTGAAAACTTTAAGAGCAGAGGGAGAGAAGGGTGAGGAAATCTGAGCTGTAAGAATTGTTCCTCACACTGTGACTGAGGGAACATGTAGATGGGAGTGGGGAAACCTAAATTCCCAGTCCGGCTAGTTTTTACACAATGAACTGAGGTCGGAACCTCAGCTCAGCTGAGTCACTCCAGCTTGGCAGGAGGCCCAGCTATTAGGCAGAAAGGAAATAGGAGCCAATGGGGAAGATAAGGCTGCAGAGAGGGCTGCCAGGGGCAGCTCTTCAGGATGTGTGCTCTGCTCAGGGACAGTGACCAGCTATGACTTTACCAAGAACAACAAGCGTTTCTTTTCCCCTTTCAAAACAACGCCACGTGAGCTGGTTGTGGTAGCACACTCCAGGAGGATCTCCCAGAAAGGGGGAGCTGGAGAATCACAAGTTTGAGACCAGCCTGGCTACACTTTTGGGGATGTGGAGATGACTGGCTCAGTATACTGCTCTTGCAGAGGACCGAGTTCAGTTCCCATCACCCACTTTAAGCAGCTCACAGCTGCCTGTAACTACAGTTCTAGGGGCATTTGTCACCCCGACCTCTGAGAGTACCCAAACATATATGCACTTACCTACACAGAGACAACAAACATAAATGAAAACAAAAGCTGGGTGCTAGTGATGCACACCTTTAATCCTAGCACTCAAGAGGCAGATGCCAGCCTGGCCTAGAGGGAGTTCCAGGCCAGCCAGGTCTACACAGTGAGCAAGTGAACAAAAATAAGGTAGGGAGTGAGAGAGGAAGACATTGACCCCTGGTCTCTACACAGATTATGCACATCATGCTCTCTCTCGCTCTCTCTCTCTCTCTCTCTCTCTCAAATAAAATGAAGTTTCCACAAATTATCACTGGAGTCTTGGGGACAAATCTGCAGCGAACGGTGGCCCTCCAACCCTCATACCTGACTGGCTTCCCAGAGTGAGAGGTGGATCCAGGCTCGCTGTGGAGCCAAGATGCAGAGGTTGATGAAGGCACAGCCCAAGGAGATGTGAAAGTAGACCGGGAAGAGCTTACTCTGCACTAACCCGAAGGTATGCCGAGGAAGACTCCGGAAAAGTAGGAAGCCTGGGGAGATGGAAGACCACAAACACCTATTAGGACACTTTCAGGGTCCCCTCCCATTCAATTCCCACCCTAAATAACAGGTTGGAGGTCCCTACCTGAGGCAAAGGTCACCCACATCTGCATGCCCCAGGCACCAGACAAGACCAGCAAGTGGACCACTTTCATCAGGCTTCCTGGATCCTCACCTTCCTCCATCCTGTAGCCCTGGAAAGGAGGCACCAGTGACTCAGCTTAAACTTCAACCTTTGCCCCTTAGCTTTGAGACCTGGCAGAGGGTGCTTAGGTCCAGCTTACACTGGTGCAGGGTGAGGGAAAACAGGATGGAAACCGCAGTGGGAAGACTGCAGCAGCCCCTGCCCAGCCTCAAGCCCAACCAGTCCATCTGAGCGCAGGCTCAGGGCTGGATCTGAGCGCAGGCTCAGGGCTGGAACTGTGGCTGTGAGGTCAGAGACTTGGTTGGTATTGGCCTCACACTCCCTCCCGAGCACTTGCAAAATAATAGCAATAGTAATGATAGTAATAAATAAAAGAATCTTAGCCCAGTATGGAAGCTCACACATGTAAACCTTAACACTTGGGAGACTGACAGGGGGATTGTCACTCCTTCATTCCAAAAAGTGTAAGCCTGGTGACTCACACTTGTAACCCCAGCACAGATGGATGACGCAGAAAAGTCACTGAGTTTGAGGACTGCCCGAGATATCTTAAAACTAACAAACAACTTAGGCACCAGCCAGGGAAGTGGCTCAGCTGGCAGAGCGTTTGCCTCACGTGCAGGAAGCCCTGCGGTCCATCTCCAGCTCTGTACAAGAGCACAGGCGCCCTTCCGTCATTCCAGCACTGAGAAGGCACAGTCAGAGAATTAGGAATTGGGGGCCAATCTGAGATACACGAGGCCTTGTCTCAAAATCCTAGAACAAAAGATCTCAGGCTTCTTCTAGATCCCAATATCAACTGCACATTATAGAACCCCAAAAGCTTGAGTCTCAGCAGCTCAAGTTCGTATCCCTGGGTCTTGAGGGATCACCTTGGTTCTGCAGACAACCAAAAGCCCTCACCCAGAAACCCGAGATATCACAGAAACATCCCAAAGCATCCCCAGGGCCCCCCATATGACCCCACCGTTGGAGCACCCGAGATCAGGCGTGGGAACCGCGAACCCGGGCAGCGCCTGTGCAGCTTTGGCTCGCCTGAGACCTCCCGGGGTTTCTTCCACACCATAGGCCTCGTCCCACCTCCCGGTCAGGCAGAAGCCAATAAGATCACACATCTGTCACCTCTGGACCCGCCCACTCAGGGATTGCCCAGTCGGTTTGCGAGAATCATCCTGTCATCCCGCCTCTCCAAACTTCATCCAGTCACACAGAACATGCTCAGGCGCCAATGAGCTCCGCGTCTGACTCGAAGGGAGCGGGCGGGGCTTAAGTGCAGACCACGCCCTTCTCTGTGACTCCACTTTCAGCCTCCCTGCGCTTTCCAGCGATGGTGTCTCCATGGGATCAAAACTTCAGCGTCACAGCTGGGGACTGGCTTCGTGGTCCCTGATGGGAGAGCATGAACAGGTGGTATGTGGTAGGTGGGAATGGAAAAGGGAATTGGGAGACTGGCGGGTGTAAGATTGACAGGGTAAGGGGCGGGACCAATATCAGTGGTCACGCCCCTTTGCTCGAAGAATTCTGTGGAGAAAGGGTCATCGGAAGAATCAATTGAGATGGGGGAGGGCAGGCACGATTGGGAATCGACCTGCGGTGAAGCTCTGAAATGCCTCTTTCTTTTCCCCCTCTAACTCTTCTGGGGCATCTGTGGTCCTCACGTGATGTTCTAGAGCAAAGTCTCGTTTCCCGAGCAGTGGACTAAATCTGTGTAATCAGGACAACCCAGTAAAGTGGATATGATGACTTTTTTTTCCCCCAGACAGGTTCTTCCTGTGTGTAGCCTGGAACTAGCTTTATAGACCAGGCTGGCCTGAAACTCAAGGATCGTCTGAGTGCTGGGATTAATGGGGTGAACCACCACATCCGGCCCTTTATGTGGTTTTGTTGTTGTTTAGATTTTTAAATTTCGCTTTATGTGTGTTAATGTTTTGCTTGCATGTCTGTCTGTGCACAACTTCCATGCCTGGTGCCTGCAGCAGTTAGAAGAAAGGCATCAAATCCTCTGGAACTGGAGCTATTAAAGGTTGAGAAGCTGAGCCGCCATGTGGGTACTGGGAACTGAACCTGGGTACTGGAAGAGCAGCTAATGCTCTTAACTGCTAAACCATTTCTTTATTTTTGTTTTTTATTTTTATTTTTTTGCAGGGTTGCTCTAGGTAGCCCTGACACTGACATGCCTGGGATGCACTATGTAGATCAGGCTGACCTCAAACTCACACTGCCTCTGCTTCCTGAGTTCTGGGATTAAAGGCGTGTGACTACTTTCTTTCAATATTAATTGATTAATTAATCTCCAGCCAGATCACAATTTTCCCTCCTTCTCTCCCTCCCTCCATGCCTCCCAATCCCTTCCCCAACTTCCCCTTTGTTTCTTTCTTAACTTAAAACTCTATTATTCTTAGTTGTGCATGAGGTGTGTGCATAAGTGTGCACATGTCATGACACACATGTAGAGATCAGAGGTGAAGTTTATGGGGTTGGCTCTCTCCTTCCACTTTTAAGTTGGCTACTGCAGATCAATTCATGTTACAGGCTAGGCAGCAAGCCCTTTGCTCCGCAAGTCCTCTCACTAGCCCTCCAAGGCCTTAATGTCTTTATGTGGGATGTCTGGCTTCTCATAACCCACCCTCACCTCTGTGATTGGATTTATCTTTTATCTGACTTCTGCTTCTGTCAGAAGTTTCTGGGCTGAAACATCTCTGAGGGGACACTCTGAAGGGGTTAGGAGGCGGGGCCGAGGCTCAGTGGGTGGAGCACTTGCCTAGCCTGCTGTTGGGTTCCATCCCCAGCACTGTATAAGTGCACTACATAAATGCATCAATAGATGCAGTGACATGGGCCTGTCATCCTAGTCCTAGGGAGGTAGAAACAGGAGGGTCAGGAGTTCAAGGTCATCCTTGGCTACGTGAGTTGGAGACCTGTTGCTCCCATTCTTGTCCTCAGCGACCCTCTTTTGGCCGGCCTACCCCGGGACCCTGACTACTGTGTCTCTCATCTCTACTCATCTCCTTCACTCTGCATCACACCTTGGCCTGCCAACGAGAAGAGGGGCAAGTACTGGCGTTCCTGGTAGGCAGCTAGAGGACCGGGAAGGCTGACAACTGCAAGCTTGCCATCCCTGCCCCTTTTTCCTTAGGGTCCTCCTCAGACAAGGCTTTGGACTGTACAACCTGCTGGTCCAGGACCTTGGAGCCTGAGATCGTGAACACTGCTTCAGAACAAGCAGCGAGGACTGTAGACTGGGGGCCTGAGTGGGACTCCAAGTGTCGGCCTCATGAGGGTACTTCCTCTTCCAGCTCAGACCTCCCCAAGGAGTTTTGTCGTGGCCAGGACCTTGTGAAGAGGAACCACACAACCAAGGTCACACATTCCCCCTCCCCCAACTCTCATTAACCTAGGAACGCACTTGCTGTGTTCCACTCTGGAGCACAGAGAAGGGGCTGCGCAGAAGGGGTCTATGGAGTTTCAGCACCTCTAGAGGGAGGAAGGAATACAAGGAAACCTATGTGTGGCTCTTTGCTTATTTGTTTTGAGACACAACCTCTTGTAGCCCAAGATGGCCCTGGACTTTTTCTGTAGCCAAAGCTGGATTTGGACTCCTGTTTCTTCTGCATCCATCTCCTGAATGCTATGATTATAGGAAGGAGACATTTTATCTGACTTTCATATTTTGAAAGTGTATATGTGTGTGTGTGTATGTTTGGTGTTCGTTTTTGTATCTATATGGTTTCTGACTGTGTGTGTGAGACTCATACTTGTGTCTAAAATCGTGGCTGATTGTGTTTAACAACAGCTTGTGGTGGTGTGCCAAGTGCTGATGGTGTCCTCAATGGACATCGCTGTCGGTACTGTCTTGTACTCCAAAGTAGGAAGGTCAAACCAGGTACAGCCTGGCATCTGTTTTCTGACAGGGTCAAGCCAGGGGCCCAAAAACACATGAGATGATACACACAAGTGCACTTCTGAGCATGTGCAGATGATGAAGTTGGGGTAAAGGCAGTGGATGAGTACCTCTGAACAGTTTTGCCTGATTCCTGGTTAGGGATAACCAGATCTCAAGAGAACCAATCTCAAGACCGGCAAATGGTCTCGAGGTGAGCAATCTGGGAAAACATCGTCACTTTCTTCTCCTCTTTTCCAGAAGTCCCTGGAGCCTGGCTCTGCTAAAGTAAAAGGTGAATGCTCTCTTCTGAGTGAGCCTGGAGTGGAGGCATTTGGGTTTCTAGCCCCACTTAATTTTTTCTTTACTTTTTTTTTATTTACTTCCTGTATTTGAGGGTGTGGGTGCCAGTGGGTGTGTGTCATGGCACACATTTGAAGGTCAGAGGACGCCTTAGCAGAGTTGATTCTCTCCTACCCTGTGGGTCCCTGGGTTCAAATTCAGGTCACCTGTCTTGGTGGCAAGTTCCTTCACACACAGATCCATTTTGCAGGCCCCCTACTCCCATTTTCTTCTTCGGTATCAAGGCCCATGTTCATTAACTGCTTCAAGGGGGTACCCTGCTCCATACATGCCCCTCTCCCTCCTCTGAGCCCCCATCTCTGCCCTGATCTTACCTCAGCCATAGCTCACTTTTCCTCTGCCCACAGTTAAGAACACCATGCTAGTCCCCGACCCTCAGAAGGCCTTGCGATGTGAACTAGAGTCCCTCAGGACCCAATTGCAGGCTCAGACCAAGGTGAGTCTCTCTACCTCCTCTGCACCTGCTCTCATCCTTCTCCCTAGTCCAGGGCCTTACCTCTCGCCCCGCCCCCTCAGGCTTTTGAGTTCCTGAACCACTCTGTGACCATGCTGGAGAAAGAGAGCTGCCTACAGCAGATCAAAATCCAGCAGCTTGAAGGTAAGGACCAGATGGAGACCAAGGTCAGAGCAAGTTTGCAATGAGTAGAAGGTCAAAGTCAGGACAGGGTCAGGGGAAGCTGGAGTCAAGGCTGGCCTCAGGCCCACATCTGTTTCCTCACCTTTTGGGGCTTGCTGGGCCTCAGCTGGCCCAGCATTTGCCTAACACGCATGAAGTCCTGGGTTCCACCTCCAGCATGGCATGCCTGTGATCCCAGCACTTGGGAGATGGAAGCAGGAGGTTTAGGAGTTAAAGGCCACCTTCATTTAATTAGAGAGTGAAAGTCAGCCTGACTAGGGCTGAGAGATGGCTTGTCAGTTAAGAGCACTGGCTGCTTTTGCAGAAGGCCCAGGCTGTGTTCCCAGCATCCACATGATGGCTCACAGTCCTCTGTAATGTCATTTCCAGGGGACAGAACACTCTCTTCTGGCCTCCGTGGGCACCGGTAAAACACCTATGAAACCAACCACGTAAAATAGAAAGACATTTTGGAGGGACGGGAGGTTCGAGACAGAGTTTCTCTGTGTAGCTCTGGCTGTCCTGGAACTCACTCAGTAGATCAGACTGGTCTCAAACTCACAGAGATCCATCCACTTGCCTCTGCCTCCTGAGTGCTGGGTTTAAAGGTATGTGCCATCACCACCCAGCAGAAATATATATTCTTTTCTTTAAGGATTTTCTTTTTTTATTTATTATGTATACAATATTCTGGCTGCATATATTCCAGCCCCAGAAATATATATTCTTAAAAAATAAAGAAGTTGGGCTGGAGAGATGGTCAAGTGCTTAAGAGCACTGGCTGCTCCTCTAGAGGTACTAAGTTCAATTCCCAGCAACCACATGGTGGCTCACAGTCACCTGTAATGAGATCTGGTGTCATCTTCTGGCCGGCAGGGACACATGCAGGCACAACACTGTATACATAATAAATAAATAAATAAATAAATCTTAAAAAGAAGTCTCAGAACTGGGGATGTGGCTCGGTTACTAAAACGCTTGCCGTGCTGGCATGAGGCCCTGGAGTTTAGCTCCGAATGTTGGGGGAGGGGGGACGGGGAAAGCTGGGCTTAGTGGGACACACTTGTAATCCCAGTTCTACAGAGGTAAAGATAGGAGGAATTCCGGGGCTCCGTGGTCAGCCAGTCTACACAAATCTGTGAGTTCCAGGTTCAGTGAGAGATCCCGTCTCAAAAGATAAGGTGAAGAATTGAGGACACTACTCAAGGTTGACCTTGGACCTCCCTTCCCCCTACACACC